GTGGGGGGGGGGGGAGAGAGAGAAATATTAAAAGTTCTGTAATGGAAATTAAGGCAATTATATCATGTTATTGTATAAAGTAGCTATGAGAATGTCAGTCCATCTGGGCACAAGATTAAGGGGAAAAAGAGGAGGGGGTCGGGGTACCTCTTCCTCTCTTACTCAGGAGCGAACGAAGGAGAAGGCAAGCGAATAACGAAACCAGAAACTAATCGCTTTCTACCTAATTAAGTCGTTCTCGAGAGACAGAGAGAGAGACACACACAGACACACACACACACAGAGACACACACACACAGAGACACAGAGAGCCAAAGACACACACACACACACACACACACAGAGGCGCAGTTACCCGCCTCAGCCCCAAGTCGCGAGTAACCGCTTCATTCACAAAAAAAGAATCTCCAGTGAAACCGATAAACAAATAAATGTATTAGCGACAGACAGACAGACAGACAGACAGACAGACAGAGAGACAGACAGAGAGACTCACCGTCCGGCCGCTCCGTCTTAATGATTGTCAAAGTCGGCTGCACCTCTATAGCTGCCTTCATACTCCCCAACTCAACACAGCCCTGAGATTGTGTGTGTGTGTGAGAGAGAGGCGTTCGGGGTGGGGGTGTGTGTATGCAGAGGGAGGGAGGGGAGAGGGAGGTCACAAATACATATACAGTATATATATATATAATAAAAACTTATGTTAAAATAAAAAGTGAGTTTCAAGTTGGGTTGGGGGTGGGGGGAATAGGGGTGGGGGGAGATTGGAGGGTGATGGGCAATGCTAATTGTTAGCTCCCGACCCCTCTCTGTCTCTCTCTGTCTGTCGCTGTAGTATCTGAGTGTAGATGAGATCAATTCACACAGAGACAGAGAGACTCGATTCGGGGCGTCTCTCGTGTGTGTGCGTCAAGTCACTTGATGGGTTTAGAGATGAGACCAGGTCCCAAACTGGGGTCAGCTTTGATCCCCTCCAGTGTGTGTGTGTGTGTGTGTGTGTGTATAAAACACAGGGCTCAGCCCCCCCCAGACGGTGCTGTGTATCCTTGGGGAAGTCTCCAGCCCCTCACCTCAGCACCCTGACTGCTTATCTCAATCACCCTTCAAGCTGAGAGCCCTGACCAGGCGGATGTGACGCTAGACATGTTTCTGCTGTTCTGTTCTGTTCTCTCTCTCTCTGACTAACTCTCTCTCTCTCTGTAGATCACTCGCCTTTCTGGGGGAAGTGTGCGTTTTAGCAGATTAGAATCGTTGTTTCCTCCCTTCCCATAACCTCCCAGACCTCGCAGCCCATGTGTTTACATTGAATAAATAAGAGCGAGAGAGGGAGCCTGCGATCTGCTAATGTCCTCAGCTGTGAAGCACAGTACAGAGCTGCCTGCAACTGTACCACTGACACCCTCACCCAGACACTCACTCACTCCCACCCACACTCTCACCAACTCACTGTCTCACACCCACACACTCACTCACTCCCACCCACACTCTCACCAACTCACTGTCTCACACCCACACACTCACTCACTCTCCCCAGAAAACGCTGCTGTCAGGATCTCTCTCCAAACAATACAAAACATCTGCAAAAACACTCGCTTCTTAAAGACACACAACTTGCCTGTCACCCCCCACCCACAAAAAACAGGCTTTAGGCTCCACAATCTGTAAAAAAAAGTTTGTCTTTATTTTTTCCCCCAATTAAAATAAACTCCTAGTTTAAGACCGTTCACGTTTTATACAGCTCAGAGCAACTCCCCAGGAGCAAAAAAACATGACTTTATATATAGTATATATTATGTATAATAATCCTTGCAGTTGATATAATGCCTGATCACATCTTCGAGATGCCTCATTTAGGGTGTGAGCACCTAGCAAAACGCTGTGTCCATGCCAGTGTAGTGACTTTTTTTGACAGTAAGTATTGGGAGTGCAAGATAATTGTCAGCATGGTCAAGTGGTGGAATGAGGTTCATTCAGCCAAATGGATCCATTGAACTACTGATGACAACAGCCCAGCCTATCGGCGGGACCTGGAAGGGCAGACCAGTCACAGGGAGCAGGGAATCCTCCCACTCAGCTACTATTAACCCTGCATCCAAAGCCCTAAAGGGTCGGTTGGTTCTAGCTGGATAAGCAGTGGAAAAGCTTGCCAGACAGTAATATCAATGGCAAGCTATACGGTCTTAGCTGGTTAGACTTCAGCAGTTACCTAAGTCCCCAAGCCTTGGCTGTTGCCAACCGGCATCTGAGGCTCTCCAGAATTCAATAAACATGCTGGGTTTCTCCAGGGAGAGAGCATTCCAGACACGGGAAGACTTCCAATGTGTAGGTGGGTACATATGTGGAACTATCAGCCTGGTTTAGAGATTCTTACAAGGTGACAGGTTCCACATGTGTCAGACACCTGGCAGATCATGGTGATGGGTTTCCTCATGTGTCAGACACTGGCTAAGCCTCCCTTCCCAAATCTGCAAGGGTTACCCTAACAAAGAACCTCCTTCATCCGAACCAACCTTGCCATCATCTTTTGAGCTATTTGCAAAGTTACTCTTTCATAGGTTACAGTGAAAATGCCAGGTGAATGGTGCCCACATCTGGTTAAATGGCTGACATTATAATGGAGATATCCTGTCTGGTCTATTTTTAACGCTTTCATCCGCCAGACCTTTGTGTCTGTGACTATGTCCCAAAAGTCAACAGTCAGTCATCAAGTCTTCAAACAAATGATGTTTGAATTGCAAAATAAAGCACTGTGGAACTCTTCCACACAATTCCCTCCTAAACCTAGGTCCTCGCTTCCTGGGCAGGACACACACGGTTGGCCAAATGCCCAGTCCTATTATTAGTAACATGTGTTATAGAAATTCCTGTGTTTGATACAGCCAGTGTCTCATGTCATCAAGCTGTCTCAACTCTCTACATAGGACCTTACTGTCAAGTGTAGTGACTGTGTATTTTGTGGGCAAATGCAGCAGCCGATTTACACACACAGCAACGTCTCGCAAACAGCCGTGAAGTGAGCGATCAATTTTATAATTTCTCTTTTCCAATAGCGCTGCGGTATCTTTACCTCAACAGGGCCCATATTGAACTGTTATTGCAAATCCTTCGAATCCCATTTACATGTACAAGGGACAGGAACTACAACAACATATAGTGGCCTTCACGCAGGATCGTGCCTCAAAGCAACTCCCAGCAAATACCGATACACCCCCCTCACACTCAACAATTCCCCCCCCCCCAACCCGCTCCCCCATTTTAATCTGAAATTGTAGAAACAGAGCGTCGCACAGGCTTGGCTGGAGGGAGAGTGGAAGGAGACCGATGGGAGACAGGGTGGGACTGATTCTTGTGGTGTGTAAAGTACGTGAACCATTTTATATGTATGTAATTGCACAGTAATTTGGGATAGCTTTCTTCTCTGCTCCGGTTCTATGCTCTGCCGCGCTGCACTATCCATGCTCTTGTCCTCATAAAATCATAGCGGAGGGAAAAGGGGCAAACAGCTCAGCAAGCGGACACTCAGCAGGTTTTCTTAACAAAGAAATGCAGGGGTGTCTTGGAATGCGTAGGTGAGGGTGCGAAGGAGGCAGTGGTGGTTATGAGTGGCAGGGGCTGCCTAACATGCACCCCACCACCGCCTGACTGCCTGTCTCAGCTTCACTGTGGGTGAGTCACTGTGGTTTGTACTTTTACTGCAATAGGTGTGCGCGAGAGGCGTGTGGTAACCAAACAAGCGCATTGCACTACTTCTGGTCGCTGGCCTCTCTCAGAGAGACCGCTTACGCAACTTCTGAGCAGCTTTTTTGGGTTGCTTTTTGCAGAGCAGAATGTTTCTTTCTGCATTATTATTGATATTAAAAGAACATTCGCTTTGCTTTTCCCGCTCTGTGAGTGTGTGAAACACCCTCTGCTCAATGTGTGATGGACACAGTCAAGCACGACCTCTCCCACACGCACTCTCTCACAAGCCTGAGAAAGAAAGCATTTTTTTTAAAAAAATGCTTGTGCTAAATAAATGAAAGCACTCATTTTAAAAGCTGTAAAACAATTGCTAAATAAATGATGTTCTTTTTGGCAAATGGCAGCCATTTTACTTGTGGCAACGTCCTGCAAACAGCCATGAGGTAAAGGACCAATTAATTGATGTGGGGGAATGTCAGTTGGGAAACAGCCTCCCACCCCTCCCACCACCATAGATACTTAGTTCCTTCCTTCCCAACCTCCCCCACCCCCTCCACTTCTCCCCCTCCTCAAAAATATACACCTCGCCTGGAGCCCGGGTTGCTTCTCTAAGCATTTCCTGGCCTCGAACTCAAGGCTTGACTTAACATGGCAGGTTATACAGAGCTGAGCTTCAGTGTTAACCCCCCCACCCGACCACTACCCCTACACCCCTCTCCGTCATCCAGTGAGAGAGAGAGACACACACACACACACACACAGTGAGTGAGTGAGTGATGCTAATCACCAGGCTATCCATGGAACTAATGAAGACCTCACAACCTATAGACTGGCTGGGTTAGTGCTATTGGAAAATTCAGGATTCAGTGTAATTTCCGAGGCAAGAGCTCAGTGTATTGCGAATGGCATTGAGATATTCCATGAGAGAAGCATGACTAGGCTTTGTTGGCTCCTCTCCCCGCAACACTCCCCAGCCCCCCTCCCCAACAACATAAAGCCTCACTTCGGCCCATCAGAGGGAGTAGAACCTCATCCTCTTGTTTCGCCCAGATTCAGACCTCGGTGAAAAGTCAATGTTCAGACCTTCCCCATTGACCTCCACCTCTGATCCCATCATCCAATAACAATAGTAATAGCAATAATAACAATCCAATAATAATAACAATCCAACAATAACAACAATCCAACAATAACAACAATCCAATAATAAGGATTACTATTATATTATTATCCATTCACCAACCCTCAATGGTCTGGGTTGGGATGGGGGGGGGCGGGGACAGGCATGTGTCAGTGTCTCTACTGAAGACTCTCTGTACCTGGAGTGACGTACTCACGGCCCGTCGGCACCTCCTGAGCTGCCCGCTCCCCCCGCACTGGGCAGTAGTATCTCTGGGGGCACCAGGTTCCAGCAAATCCAGCCACTGAAGGTTCCTCATACACGTCAACAGGAGCGAGTCTCTGAAACACAAGCAACGTAACATTGGTCACCAAGGCAAGGGTAACTTGTTGCTGTGGTTGACAAGTCACTGACCAGAAATAATAATAATAATTCTTGCATTAGATGTAGCGCCTTATCACGTCTTCATGGCTTCACAGAATATACTGTGAAGTGAAATAATCACAATGTAACCTCTCAAACCCTTGCTATATAAAATACAAGCTCCTTATTTCTCACGATCAGCCAAAGACCGGATCGGTTAAAAGACTGTGAAATATGATGACAACAATTACTTGCACTTATGTTGCGCCTTTCACGCCGGAAGGCGTCTTGGAACGCTTTGACAGAGGTCAATGCTATCCCGGGCGGGGGGGTGGGAGGGGCATGGGGGAAGGTGATTCAGGTTTTGGGATTTGAAATTGATGCCAACGGAGAGAGAGAGAGAAAAGGCGCTGATTACATCCCAGCACATACAGACAGGAAGCTGCTGGGAATGTGAGACACGGAGACTAAGTGCATCACATCTCCAACACTCACAGCAGTAATCGTGCTGTCAGCACAGATAACACACCAGCTCTGTGTCTGTGTCGTCACCTTGTAAACCTGGCCCTGAACCCACCCTCACACCTTCCTCGCCTACAGCCTCCTCATTCTCCTGACGTCAGCCTTTCCCACTGAGAGACCGGGATCACAGGGGGCTTCAGTGATTGATGTTTACATAGCTCTTCCACGTCAGGGAAGATGTCTCAAAGCCGAGCTGGGCAAAGACTGATGTGGGGAGGGGGGAAGAAGGTGCCTGAAGAGGTGGGTCCTAAGGTGGGTTTCTTTGAAGCTGGAGAGGAAGGAGCAAGGCGGAGGAACTTCACAGGTGGCAGAGCACAGACTCTCCCTCGCGCCCCCAAGTCTAACCCCGCACAGCCTAGCCCCAACCTGCCCCAGGCTAGCCCCGCCCTAGCCCACACTTTTACATTTTTCCTTTTCAATCATTGGTTCTAGACAATCCACTTCAGTCTATTCACTTTCCTCGAACAAACTGTTTTGCCAAACTTTTTTTCGAACACACACAGAACACAAGTATAAATATCGCTCCTTCTGCGCTCATGCCTTTGGTATTCAGATAATAATTTATCGGTTAAACCACAGACGTCATAAAGACTGTAGTTCTTTTCATCGACAGTCACCTGTCTCTTGGCACTGTTGGCTGCCCAGTGTTACCCGGGAGGGTAGAGAAGGGATTTTGTGCCCTTGGCTCCCAGATAGATCAGTCATTCACTTCACGGCTGTTTGTGAGATGAGCGGGGTAGGGTGGGGGCTAGGGTGGAGGTGAACAGGAGTGGTCGCTGAGCCACATGTTAATTGGTGGACGGCTGATTTACAGACTGAGCGTGACCCAGCACAGACTGAGGCCATTTCTGTTGTCTCTTTATTGCTTGACTTTCTGGGTAGTGGGAGAGGCGGGAGGAGGGGGGGAATAAATTGGTGATGGACTCGCATTTACTCTGTACAAGTTTAACATTGAATGTACTGCATATAGTGAGGTATATAGTGTATACTGTAGAGTCCTGCAGCATAGTGGTTAGAGAACACGCCTCACAAGCGAGAGGACCTGGGGCTGGGCAAAGCCTTAGGCAAGTTTCCTTACTGCACACACCTCTGTTTAATTAGGTTGTTAATTGAATGACGGATCACTTTACCGGGGGTAATAATCCCTCCCCCCCAAAATATTAAAAAGTAATAATTTGGTCACTCAATCCACTGGCTGCTGCTTTTCACCCACACTTTACAGTGTATTCCGTGAAGCCGTGTAAGAAGTCTCAGCAACGTGATAAGACGCTGTATCAAATGCAAGTATTATAATTTATTATTATTAAGCAAAGCGTGTGTGTAGTCTTTCACACCCCCCCCCAATCAAGAGGTTCCCTCTAGCTGATTATTATGCAGTTTCCAATCTTCTGTGACCAGCAAGCCTGTAATGTTTCGAGACGTTTGACTACCTGGGGAGCAGAGGGAGCCGATCTCTGGCTGTGAGTGTGGTGACTGACTGACTGACTCTCACACACACCCACTGAGCACAGAGCTTTACTGTCAGCTTCCTGCACAGTGTAAGCCACTGTTATACGGCAGGATCTGCATCAGTCAGCAACACAGCCAGCAGAGAGTTAGCTTCCAAATATATTGCAACCCTGGTTCGGGACACCGCCCCAATAACGTCAAAAAACATCTCGAAACCCTTCACAGAGGATTGCCGTCACATGCAGCAACCTTTTTACTGGCAAATGAGGCTGATTTTCACCCACCAAAGTACACTGACGTGATGATCAATTCATCAGGAATGGCCACAGCACTGGATGTGATAAACACGTGTGAGACAGTGGGAGCACGAGTGTGTGTGACGGTGTGAGTGTGGGTGTGTTCGGGTGGTGGTGGTACACGCTGACCTGTGTTTGAGACTGTGTGCGGGGAGGCCGATTTCACCAGCAAATTCAAGAGGGAATTAGCTAGCTATCCAGCAAGGAAATGGATGGTAAGGTAGTTATAGCTGTTAATTATCATAATATTTCTTGCATTTGATACATCACGCCATTGATGTCTCAAAGCACTTCATGAAATTTTTACTGTAAAGTGCAATGACTTTATTTTGCAAGCAAACACAGCAGCCAATCAGCGCAGTTCAGTGTCCCACAAACAGCCATGAAGTGAATGAAACTCCTTTCTCTTTTCCAATAATGCTGTGGGATCTTTAACGTCCACCTGAACAGGTACAGACGAAGGAGCTCGGTTTAACGGCTCAACTGAAAGATTTGATGTTTACTGCACTTTGGGACGAGCTGGTTAGTTTTCTCCAAAGCCTTACACCTTCCTTCACAAGGTTGTTTTCCAAAGGTGAAGGTCTGTGTCAACATTGAGTGCAACATGATAATAATCCTCACATTTGATATGGAACCTTTCATATTGGGAAAGTAGCTCAAAGCGGGTGAGTGGGTGGGTGGGTGAGTGATTGGGTGAGTAGTACTCACTGCCATGCCCCAGGAACAGCAGCTGTTAGACATGGCCTCGTGGTAATAGTTCATCCTCGGTCTTTACCTGGAAGCACAAACCGTGAGGGAGAGCGTTACCAACACAACAAATTATATTTGTACAGTGCCTTTCATGTCGGGAGAACATCCCAAAGTGCAAGACACAGAAAACCACAGCTTTCACTTTACCCCAGTTTTGATTTGACAGGAATTCACTGTGTGTTTAACAGTGTGAGTGGATTTTAACTATTTTCTTTAATTTCCAAATTAAAAGCCAACTGATCTCCTGGGTCTCGGGGACCACAAACTGACCTATTTTGGGCTTTTCTAAGATTCTCACTGAGATTGAGTTCTGTAAATCTTTATTATTACAGTCTGTGAAAACCACAGTATTTATTTGTAGTGTTCTACACACAATTATACCCCATCACATGCAAAGTCATCAACACACACACACACACACAGTGTGATGCACTATTATCCACCCTGGGATGTGCAAACTGATTCACACACGTGTTGAGTTACTCAGTTAACCGCTCAGCCACACCAGCTCTGTGTCAGCCCCAACGCTAATTACTGACCTGTAAACTTCATTGATAAACAGATTCTCTGGTTCCAGACCATCCGCCTGACACTGACACACTCACTCACACTCACTGACACTCACACACAATATGCCACATTCAATCATTGACTGACCAATACACTCACACTGACACCCAGACATCGACACACTCACTCACTGAGAAGGAGCCCGGCCTGAGCCCAGGGCTACCCTGTACATACCCCCCCCCCACCCACCCCAACCCCCAGAGCATCAATTCAATCGCAAAACAGTAAGATTTCTCACCCACTGGTCCAGACAGTGTTTGCTGGTGAAGTGTGTACGCGGGTCTGAGCTCCGGCCTCTGTGTGTCCACACTCAGCAGCAGAGATACCTGAGTGTATTATCACACAGCACTCCAACCTCTCTCTCTCTCTCTGTGTCTAATACTTTATCACACTCCCTCCCTCCCTCTCTCAACTCTCTCCCTTACACACTTCCCCCCACCCCTCTCTGTCTCTACCCTTCTCTCTCTCTGTCTCTCTCCCACACTCTCTCCCTCTCTCTGTGGCTGATGTGAGTGACTACTGTCTCAGGTTCTCTCTGCTGCAGTGATTAGGTGGAGATTGCTGGGTGGGACTCACACTTATCTTAGATCCCAGTGTCCCGGGCTGTGCTGTGACAACACGCCTCCCGGGGGGGGGGGGGTGAGATTCCCAACCTCTTTCCTTAAACAGGAATCGGAACCATTAACACGAGTCTGGGGCAGTTAATTCATCAAACAAGTCACGATTCAGCCTTTGTGATAATAGCAAAGAGATTGGAGTGATCAGAGAGAGAGCGTCGTGAGTGTTACAGACAGACAGACAGGCAATAACAATAATTATCCAGACTCCCAGCATGTTTCAACCATCAGCGAAAATCGGTGTATTTTTTTTCACTGATATTTGCTCATTAAGCAGAAACCCAGCAATGATGATAATCCTTGCATTTGATGCAGTGCCTTTCAATCCGGGAAGTTGAGACGTCTCAATGCGCTTCACAGGGTAAAATGTAAAGTGATTTGGACTGTGGGGTGTATGTTTTGTGGGTGAAAGTTGGCAGCCAATGGGGCACAAGAAGACAGTCCCACAAACAGTAGTGGATTGAGTGACCACTTTTTTTTCGGATGATGGGTTAAGAAAATTTCTGGGATCTGGGAAATTGGGAATAATATCATTTGGATTACTACTAGCATTCTCTATTGCGCTTAGAGCTAGAGTGAATGCCACTGTCTAAATGTAAGTGGTTGCCAGTCCTGTACTGGGACAGTCAGGTTATTAGGGAACAGGAAAGTATGTGCCTAAATACCATTTGTTCTCTGTTTCTCCTGCCTCAAGCCTAGAGCTGGGTCAGTGTCTGTTGATAGTGTTTGGGATTAATGCTAAATCCAAGGGATTAGGGACCAGCGTAATAGTAAAGTGATCCTTACTTTTGATACAGCACCTCATCACAGTCTCAAAGTGCTTCACAGGATTCACTGCAAAGTCCAGTGACTATGTATTTTGTAGGGGAATAAAACAGCCAATTTGCACACAGTGATATCCCCGCAAAACAGCCACAAAGTGAACAACCAATTTTATCTGGGGGATTGTCAGCCAGGACCCTGGGAGAGAGAAACTCCCTTCACTTTTTGAATAGTGTCAAGGGATCTTTAATGTCCACCTGAACAGGCAGACGGGACCTCAGTTTAACGTCTCACACAAAGGACGACACCTCCAACAATCCAACGCTAAACTCGAGTGTCAGCAAAGACTGTGTGAGTTCAAAGTCCAGCTGTGGGGCTTGAACCCACAACCTTCTGACTCAGAGGTGAAAGTGAGATTGACTGAGCCAGGCTGACATCAAATAGCTGGTGACTGAAGGAGGAAAGGAAGATCGAGGGAAGTAAAGAGCCTCACAACTTTGAGCTCCCGAGAGAGAATGAATTCAATTGAATTAGGGTAAAATGTGATCAGTGTGGGGTTTAACACAGCCAGGAGCAAGGAGATGCCAAACCACTCTCCACTGAGACGTAATTGTTTCGATCCACGAAAGAGCTGACGTACATTAGAGACGGCTATTTGCAATAATTGGGATCAGTTCCACAGTCGTGTGTACCAGGTTATCAGAGAGACTATAATGTACAGTACTAATCACAAACATCTCCCTTCAGGATGTATACCGTCACCACAATAGCACCTGTGGCAGCTTGGCTCACTTTCTCTTACACAGTCCCTCTTTCTCTTTCTCTCTAATCCTGTAATGTCAATGGATGCTCAATGCCCATTCAGGAAAAATCTCTGCATGTTGCTGTAGAGTACACCATTTCTCTGACATTTCAGCCAAGCTTTATATTATGGAACTCTTATAAAGTTTATAAAGTATCTTCAACTTTGATTTAATAATCTTACATTTGATGCAGCGCCTTATCACGTCTTCGAGACGTCTCAAAGCGCTTCACAGGATACACTGTAAAGTGAATTGACTGTATTTTGTGGGTGAAACGATAACTGGCGCTCATCAGCTTCCAGAGTACAATTCATCTGAAGATATCTGAAAATGTTAATTTCGCCATTATTTTAGAGAGACGTGCACACACATTTATTTTACAGTGGAAAAATGAGTCTCAGTGGTCGCCTGCTAAACTTATTGAAATAGTTTGAAAGGAAGTGGAGAAACAGGCAGCGTTCCATCAGTGTTAGTGGGAGTAAGCAGATTGCCCAGAAACAGACACAACTACAAAGTGGAATGATTGAAAGATCACAGACCGAACAGCACAGAGAGACTGATGGGGAATAGGAGGTCATCAGTCTCCCTCACTCACAGGCCAGTGAGGGCTCAAAACTGCACCCGTGATCAGAATGTGACTTGTTCAAAGGCGATTAAAGCTCTCTGGTGGGTATCACAATTATGACCAGTTTTTTGATGGGGTAAATAGTGAATATTTCCTCTGACCAGGAACAAAGGGTCAAACATTGAGGATTATCATATCATATCCAATGGGTATGAGGAGAAAACAGGGGGATGGGGTTAGATTAGAGAGCTCCAGTGGGGGAGCGAGCCCCAGGACAGACACGATGGGGAAAGATCAGGGACGTCCTCCTGATGTGAAAGACGCTACGTAACTGTAATTTGTCAGCATTGTTGCGGAGATCACATTCCCAGAGAGGGCCTGTGAATGGCTCCTCAGCTGTTAAATCAGCAATCAATCCACTGTGTAAGCGAGAAGCCCCTCACACATAGGAGTTACTTACAGAGTATGTGCACGGGCAACCTGACACTTGGCCCAACATGTTTGCGTAAAGATTGCAAACCAAACCCATGGCGCTTTATTTGGTGACAATCTGCCTGTCTGCACCCCCATCTGCCTGTTGTTTTTCGAGTGGTGGGGGGGATGGTGGGGGGGGGGGTTTGTTAATGCTTTGTGCATTGAGTTGGCTCTGACCCTCCCTCGATCGCCGTTCCCTCCGGAACGGCCCTTTATTTTTAGCACAGATTGACGTGTGGGATGTGGACTTGCATCCGTTGTCGTGAGGCCGTCAGGAAACAGCAGGGAAACAAAATGCTTGTAACTTTCACAGGGAGCTGGTGTCAGCACCCTAACATCCATCCCTGCATTTTATCTGCTCACCCATCCCTCCTGCTATCTCCCCAGCCAGACACACATTCATAAAAATTACATCCAGACACACACACAAACACACGTCTAACTCTACTTCAGATAATCTCTGCTACCGGCCTGGATGTGGACATTTCCTGCAACTTTAAATAGAAACAAACCACCTTCATCTGCCAACTCCAGAGACAGACAGCAGCTCATTCCTGACACCGTTTACACCTTGTGATGAAATAATATGAAATAATAATAATATGAAATAATAATATGATGAAATGCAAATAATAATAATAATAATCCTTGCAACAAAAACAGAAGTTGCTGGGAACACTCAGCAGGTCAGGTAGCTTCTATAGAGAAAAAGGAAAGTGAGTCAACCTTTCGCGTTCTGCCGAAGGTTCTTGGACCTGAAACGTTGACTCACTTTCCTCTCTGGGTAAAATGCGGCAGCCAATTGCACACAGCAGTCGTGGATTGAGTGAGCAAATTATTATTATGGATTTATTTATTTTTGGAGGGATTATTACCCCCCGAAGCGATTCGCCAATCAACTAACAACCGGGTTCCTACTTACTGCTAGATAAATAGAGGCGTGTGGAGTAAGGAAACCTGCCTAAGGTTTTGTCCTGGCCGGGAATCGAACCTGGGTCTGGAAATATGTATTTATTATTTAGAGGTGAGGTGCAGATCAGCCATGATCTAATAGAATGGTGGAACAAGCTTGAGGGGCTGAATGGCCTGCTCCTGTTCCTATGTTCGATGAAAATCAATTGAGAATTAGACAAACACAGGCAGAGGAAGGGGATTAGAGGGAGACCTGATTGAGGGGTTTAAGATTCTGAAAGGATTCGATAAGGTGGAAGTTGATCCACTGTTTCCACTTGTTAGTGAGTCCAGAACTGAAGGGTGTAAATCTAAGTGGGGCTGTAACAGATCTAATAGAGAGTTTAGGAGGAACTTCTACACAGGGAGGAGGTGAAAATGTGGAACTTACTGCTGGAAGCTGTGCTTTAAGCAAAAAGCATTAATTGTATGAGGAAGTAAAACATATGTGAGGGGGAAGAGAGTAGAGGGGAATGGGTGGAGAGGAGAGGGGACGGGCTCAGATGGCATCTAACCACCAGCACAGACCAGCTGGGCCAAATGGCCTATTTCCGTGTCATGTCCCTCTGTGAAACTCAAGACATGACACGAAAAATGAGTCGAACAGCCTCCCAGTGCGGTCTATGGTTCTATGGAATATTGTAGCACAAATGGCTCTAAAGCCCATTAACAGACAATTGGACAAAGAGTTGAAGGAAAGAAAGATATGAGGATGAGGTTAGAGGAGAGAAGTTCAGGCAGGGAACACAAACCAAACACGGTGGGGAAAGGCCAGAGCAATGAGATTAGAGAACTCAGATGAGGAACTATCTGAGGCAATTGGATATTATGGCTGTCTGGGGAAATTTATTTCACGACCTCGATTCCCGGCCTTTTCCCTGCCCCTCTGATCCCTTTTCCCTGAGTGTGTAGGCCAGACCCTTCCCTCTCTCCCTGTAGCCGCTTCCCATGTTTGGCCACAAGTCCACCTCACTGCTTAATCCTGGACTTGGCAAACGGGTCGGAGGAAGATCTCCGCTGCACCCCCAGGAGATCGGATCCACAAAGGAGGACTATTTGCACACACACACAGGTCTTATATGCCACAAGTTTGACATGCATTGGGACCTTGCCGTCCTTGAAGAGGGCTAAGAATGACCAGAGTGCCCTTTGCCTGAAGTTGCATTGCCCAAGCCGAGCGCTGTATCATTGGTGTCTGA